AAAGACATTCCATTGCCGCAAAATCAAACCCCAGAAGCTTTTACCAGCAAAGCTTGGCCCCAAGCAGTCCTGGCCCAATGTTCCCGGAAGTGGACGTCGACTGCTGGAAGAAGAGCCGGAAAAGCGTTCAAATCTAGTGCCTAAAGGCTCCTGGCCATGATTTGGGCCACAATAGCTGATCCGCAATGTTCTTCGCAAGAGAAGTTACATTGTGCTGCATGCGTTGATGCGTGCTTCATCTCCAGGTACGCACATGGAATCAATTGGTATCTTCATCCGCCAGTTGATCATTCAAAAGCAGGTGCAACGCAGGTCTTTTTGCTCTGTGGCTTGCGCGCTGGTAGCGACAGGGCTGCCTGTCACTTGCAGGCAGGCGCTGCACTGCTGCCTTTCGCTCTCGCGTGTGCAGACGCGCCCTTTTGGCATTTGACATTGGCCGCGTGCTGTCCGCTTTTTCACGGGCCCATGCAATAATATTACAAAGCATTGCGAATTCATGCGCCATGGCAACAGCCACATGCTGACTATGGCTACGGACCTTTCCATGCATATTGCGCGCGCTGTCTTTTTGCAATGGGAAAGACCATTTGAATCTGGCCGCGCGCTGTCCGTGCTCACGGGCCTGTCGCATTAACACTGCAAACTACTTGCAAATTCATGCATCACGGCGCTGGCCACTGGCTCCACTTGTTCACGGTTTTCCTGGAATATTGGCTGCACTGATTTCTGGCAATATATACAAAGGATCAATAAGGCTTGGGCCACGCGCTGTCCATGCCCGCGGGCCCTGCCGCAAAATAATTGAATGAATTCTATGTACAGCTAGCGTCTATCACCTGCGGCAGTCTGGGCAGAATCGCTTGCGCCCCTGTCCTGGCCTTTGCTTTTCGTGCCACTTGCGCTTGCAATCTCTGTTACGGCACGTGTGCTCGTCTTTCTGGCGGGCGCCGCGAGAGGCGCAGTTGAGACAGCGCCACTGCCGCTCTTTCCCATGGCCAACGGCATTCGGTAGGATTTCATTGCATGAACGGCAAGAGAACCAGCCTTTTCGGCCCACGGTGAAGGCCTTCTTGGCTTCTGCTTGGCACGCCTTGCAAGCAACACTTTCGGTTGGGAAAGTAACCATGCAGTGGTGAAACTCATCGACGGCCTTGCTCTCACCGCATTCACTGCATTGTAGGTGGCTGATGGCCCGGCAGCAAGACAGACATTTCCTTTTCGCGGCATCTTGCGCCAGCTGAGCCCGGGGGAAAGCATCCTCTATCTTGGTCAGCTTGCAAGCGCCGCAAAACTCCTTGCTTGCCACTTCAAGCTTGCGCTTCTTGGCGCCCACGCGCTCGCCATGCTTGCATCGCCTGCACATGGCTGGCATGTTGGCGCGCACCTTCTCCCACTGCTCGTGGTCAAAGCCATCCAGGTGCCGAACTTGCTGACAATGGGCACAGGCGGCATGCGGGCGCAGGCCTTCGGCATACGCAGCCAAGTCGATGTCTTCCCCGCGCAGCTTCTGGAGGAGCAGCTTCGGGCCATCGCGGATGCCTCGATTGAAGAGGAAGCGCGGAAACGGGCGGAGGATGAGGCAGTCATCGCGGCAGCGCACCCGGCTGGACCCCACTGCTCCAAAGGTTGCGTCCACCTTCTTGTCCACATTGAGGTCCAACAGGAGGGCCCTCAGCGTCTTGCCCTGGCTTGAGTGGGCCGTGATACAAAAGGCCGGGGTGAGAGGAATCTGCTTTCGCTTGACCTTGAGTACCGGGTGTTGCCTCTTACCATCCAAGTGCCAGATCCTTTGCGCCGGGCGGATGGGATAGACACCGGGTTCGTCAATGCCATCCAACTGCCATGTGGCACCCTCGAACTTCACGTAGACGCAGGTCGGCACACGGTGGGCGAGTCGGTCATTCTCAGGCCAGATCCAAGAATGCACCCGGCCCTTGGTGCCTCTCAGGAGCAACCTGTCCGGCGACCTGTTCAAATGCTCCGTTAGAGCAACGGGCAAGCCAATGGCGAGGGGCAGCACGCCGCACAAATTTTCAGTGTCCTTGTCATGGTATTGTAGCCACCTGTCAGGGGCAGGGCAAGGCAATCAATCGCTTTGTCACATCAGCGCGCGGGCATAGCCTAGCCTAGCAACATTATGCCTTTCTAAGCTAGCGGAACCACCTTGATCAAGAGCGCGTGTTTTCCTTGACTTCGACATGTGGCTTGGCTAAACGACAGCCGACATCATTTAGTATTACGCAATGTAGGCGAGCATGCGCCCATTGAGTGTGGATGTTGCGTTAAGCCCCCCCGACGCCTGATCTTTGCCTCTTTGTCGCAAGGGTCTGCCTGCAGCGCTGCCGATGTGGCTTCGTCACGGGCTACCGACCAGTAAAGCGGGGCTCCGGATGCCTGGCTGTACTGCTTTGCCCTGTCTTTGTTGATCTGGTAGCGGGCATCATTGTTGGCAACAACCGTCATGGCCTCTTTGAACTTGCTTTCCTGCAGCCGCGGGTCATCGGGCGAGCTGATGACTCGCTGTCTGGAGCGGCGCTCTTCCTCGCTGAGGGTGCAGCCTTCCACCGGCTCGCCGTGCAAGTAGGCGTGGTTCTCGACGGTGAGGCACGCATGCCGCAGCTCATCGTTCACTTCGTTCCTCCAGTTGTCCTTGCAGCGCTCCCTGTCCACGAGCTCCGTAACGCCCTGCACGTCGTTCCAAAGCAGAAGCTTGCCATACTCGCCCAAGGCATTCTCGGGCGCCATCTCACCATCTGGATCACGGACTGAGCGAGGTAAATCTGCCAGGTAGTTGCCCGCGGGCGGCGGTAGCTGTGGAAGTCGCCTGTGAAGATCACGTTGACGCCGGCGAACGGACGCACTAGGCCGTTCTTGATCTTCCAAGGGTTGGTCACGGGCACCACGTCCCTTAGTTCCTTTTCAGCCTGCGCCAGCAGCTTCGCATCCACCATGCTGATCTCGTCCAGGATGAGCCAGCGCCAGTGCGCCATGTGCGTGTGCGCCTGGCGCCTTGCTCCTTCATCTGGGCCCCCGAACTGCTTCCAGCCAAAGGCTCCGTGTATGTTCTTGCCTTGCAAGTCAGCTGCGTTGACGGCTTGGAAAGCGGCCACTTCATAGTCCAGGCCGTAGGTGTAGCCCATCATCTCAAAGAGTTCCTTGACGAAACCCAAGACGTGGGACTTGCCGGTTCCGGGCGGGCCATGCAAGAGCCAGAGCAATGGATCAGACGTTTTGCGGAGCGATTCTTCTTCCTTGATCAAGCCAATCTCGACCATGACCCTATCCACCACGAGCTTCAAGAACTCCAGCTGCTTCGGGTTGGTCTGTTTCCGGACCGTATCACTGTCGAGCCAGGCCTGCAACATTGCTTTGGTAAGCGCCGGCCGCTCCTTGACCGACGGGTTGCCTTCTTTGTCCTGGATCAGGAGGCCTGCGATCCTGTCCTCCTCCGCTCCTTCATTCTTCTTGCTCGCAGCAGCCGATTTCCTGGCGAGGGCATGGTCACGAACTTGGCCTGCTTGCAGCATTTGTTGGTGCTGGGCTTGTGCTTCTGCATCTGGCTGCTGCAGGCGCTCCGGCGCTAGGTAGATTGAACTTGAGAGGCGGATCATGTCCATGGTCAAGTCAAACAACGTGGGGCGCTTGTCCTGTTGCTGCTTCGCCTCGGCCCTGACCTCTGCAGCTGCTTCTGGAACCTCTTCCTCACTGGGATCATCGTCCTGGCTGGCATGGGCTTTACCCGCTCCCCGGACGTGGGTCAGAGTGGCAACGGCCAAGTCCTCTTCGTCCAATGTGATGTCGAGATCGTCCACCATGCCCTCGTCGTCGCTGTTTGGGTGCAAGCCGTCTTGCAGTTGCAAGTCCCGGGTCAAGAAATGCACGGTGCAGAAGTTCAAGACGAAGCGCTTGACCTCCTCAGTTGGGAACCCATAGGTAAAGGTCCGGCCGCGCAAGGCCTCCCGCCAGCTGCGCATACCCTTTTCCCAGAAATGGCCAATGAAAGGGACAGCAGTGCTGGCCTCTTTCACGTCATTGACCCAGGGGAAGAACAACAGCAGAAGCTTCATTGCTTGCTCCTCCTCCGATTTGCTCGCCGGGGCGCCATAGGGCACGGGCACGTCCGGTCGCTTCCTCGGCGCGATCACCCAATCGTGGCGGTAGGCCGGATTTACGTGCTCCCCTTTTCCCAAACATAGCCATCCTTCACCAGCCCCTTCTCTGATCTTGTAGTCAAACCCGGCGCGAAGGGTCGAATTGCGCGCTTGCGCCATCACCTTCCCGACCCCCTCTTCCGTTAGCTGCGCATGGTAGAGACTCGGCTTGTTCAAGTGGTTCTGGTGTTCTTGCCCGCTGAATGGGTGCTTGGCCACCTTGAAACGATAGTGCCGGACAAACTCATACGCAGAGAGGGCGTGGACCTTGCCGAGGGAAGAGAACGCCCAAGAACAGAAAGCAAAGAAATGCCGGATATATACATAACAAGGGCGAGCGGCTTTATCCAGGCAGCTTTGGCTATACTACAGGCTATCAATCTTGAGAAAAACATTTTTGTGAATGGACGGGCTTGCCTCTGGAGCTTGTCCTCGGCCTCCATAAGCAGTCCAGAAGGGGCAATCGATGAGCTTTTTCTGCGCGTAGCTGCGAGGGTCCGATTGCACCCGTCGGGGCTCGCGGGGCCAAGGTTCTTGCGCCGCAGCCTTCTCCAGTAAGCGCAAGCCATACTGCAACGATATTTCCGTCACAGGAGCGGTTTTGACGCTCTCTGCCCTGGTCGGGTCCTTCTCGTGGTCCTCTGCATGGATGATGAGGTTGGTGCACTCCACGGCGCCACGGCAAACACCCCGTGCATAGCAGTCCGTAATGAGGCGCTTGCCCAGCCTGGCTCCCACATAGCCCGGCTTTTGATCCTGGATCTCCTCGACCAACTTCTTCTGCGCTTTCATCCATTCCTTGCATTCATGGACGGCCACCGGCAAGCGCTTGTTCTGGTAATCTGCCGCGTAACCGGCTTGGGCCGCTTGGTTGATTTGCGCATCCCAGATCAGATTGCGGACCGGCGCCTTTGCACATTCATTGCCGCACAGACCGCTGCTATGGGTCGAAGCTGTGATTGGGAACCGGTAGGGCGGCTGGACGTCGCTGTTGCATCGCAGGGCTGCCACAAGAGCTGGATGGGTACCGTTGAGGTTCGGCTCGTTGCAAGGGCCCCAGGGTAGCCCCACCATGCTCTTCTTTCCTTTGTGCGGCATCTCTTTCTCTGCTGCCAAGCCAGGGCACACCACAAAGGGCTCTTCTGTCAACCACGATGTTCGAGGAAAGCCGCTTTTGCACTTGGTTGGGTCCTTGGGGTCTTGGCAATGCTTCAACGGCATTCGCTTTCCGTCCGGCCCTGGTATATGGACATGGTGCTGCTTCCGCTTCTGCAAGCCTTCCACGTCTGCGGCCAAATAGGTTGCTCGCCACGCCGCGGGCTCCATGACGTCATCCAGTTGGTATGCCGGCCGGCTGCTCATGAGAGGGCAATCCTTGAACTCTGGCCAAGCATCTTCTATTTCATGCTTCTCATCATCCCAAGCTTCTTTGTTGCAATATACCTTGCGCTGGACGTAGCCCGAATAGCTGGTGCAGCGGCGGAGCATCTCCACCAACCGCTGGTCCTTCAAGCCCTGCAATTCGGATAGCGAGCGCAACTGGTGAAAGCATTGGATGAAGGCTTGCAAGTGGATGTGGAAGTTTCCGCTCTTCTGGCATTCCAGCGAGCCGTATATGGCATCCACCCGCCCAAATACACCTCCCATGGCTGTGGCATTGCTTCCAAAGGCATCTGTGCAAGGCTTGTCCGACTGGGCGCAATCGGGGCATTTGGGACAGAAGCGCATTCCAAAGAGGTGGCGCAGGGTGAGCAGGACCAGCGTTTGGAACCCTTCTGCACAAGCCAGGGGGTCGCGGGCAAGCAAAGCTTTCCTTTCATCGTATGGCAACAGCTCCTGGCAGGGCGCCGGCAGCAACACACTAGCACACCATTCCCGGCATGCCTTAGTACACTGGCTGAATAAGCCCGTTTATGTCTTTGGGGGTTACCATCAAGGACAAAAACCGCAGCGCCGCGTGCCTCTGCCAGAGCTTCGAGCGACAGGTTCATGTAGTCGATATCCAGGGCAGGCGCTTGCCGCTGTTGAAACTTGCCGCTTCCATCTTTCACAATGGCTGGGTCAGATCGCCGGGCCCGCACGAACCGGACCATCAGGCTGGTGTCGTTGTCCTTCGGTGAAACGGTAATGAAGATTGCCGTCCCGTAGCACACACGATAGGCATTGGTTTTAGGGTTTAGGGTTTAGGGTTTAGGGTTTAGGGTTTAGGGTTTAGGG